CAGTGTAGCCTGGTGCCAGGCAACGCAATAATCTGTTGAATATATGTACTGCAAATTTACAAAACCGTCGATTAGGTGGAAGTTGTTCGCATGGAGCTCGGCCCACAGTGCAGTGGGTCGATGTCGGTTATTCTGGTTGTTTGCCGTATAACCAGCCCCCGCCCAACGTGCGCGTGGGTTCGTGCCTCTGTAAGCGTGCCCCGTACCCAAACTAACGGGCCATTGACATCGAGTTGGGGGTTGGGGGTGTAGACCCGATCCGCTACGGTTCTGGCTGCGCTGCTGCTGCCTGCTGCTGCTGCTGCTCTGAGGTGAGAGACGCGGCTGCAGTCGCTTCGGTGGTGGCAATTGTCGGCTGTATGAACGGGAATATATGCTCGGGATATATGCAAACCAGCCCAAGCATTGCCCGAGCCAACAGCAGCAGCAGCAGCAGCAGCAGACGAAGGAGCGAACGAGCTAACGAACCGAACGCATACTCGACAGGATGTGGATATAACGAGCCTGTGTGTGAGTGTGCCTTTGTGTGTGTGTGTGCGTGTGCGTCACTTTCTATGTGTGTGTCCTTTGCTATGCTGCGTGTGTGAGAGCATAGAAACAAAGTGCAAACTGGTAGGCACATTGTATAAAGCCCGTAGATACGCTGAGTAACTCGAACTGCATATACCCTCTTCCCAAAAAGGGTTTCACATAATGAGTAGCTATCAACAACATAATTGCCGAGCTGATGAAAATAAATATTAATTATCGAATATAATTGGTAGCATGCATCCATCAAATATGTCCTACCAACAATTAAGTATTGCTATGGATGTGCGCAGTAAAATGGCATTTATCACATTTTTACCAATTACAGAAAGTAAATTATGAAAATTGCTGTTTTTTCTCCTGAATACTAGAAATTAGTCTAACTGACAGTTAATAAAACAAAATGTATTTAGTTTTACTTTTGTATATTATGTAAATTATCTCAATTGCTTGCGAAGCTTCAAACTAGGTTTGACTCATAATTAGACTGAATAGAAAAATATCTATATGTTAGTAAAAGATTCAGTAAAGTTTTGATTAATTGATATAAGAAAGAAATACATATAATCAATAAATTTTGTTTATTTTTGTTTGATAAAAGAGAAAAAATATATATAAATAACAGGGTATATCAAAAACTTTATATTCTCTGACTCTAACGGGTCTCGATCTGATATTCATTCGCCTCATTTCATTCGTACGGGTCTCGATCTGATGTTCATTTAACTCATTTCATTCCCTTTGATTCAAGTCTCCTTTATAACTTATACTCTCTGACTCGTACGAGTCTCGATCTGATATTCATTTAACTCATTTCATTCCCTTTGATTCAAGTTTCCTTTATAACTTATACTCTCTGACTCGTACGAGTCTCGATCTGATATTCATTTAACTCATTTCATTCCCTTTGATTCAAGTCTCCTTTATACCTTATACTCTCTGACTCGATCTGATATTCATTTTACTGATTTTCTATGTCCTTTTGATTCAAGTTTCTTATTTAATATTCTCTGACTCTTACGAATCTTAATCTGATATACATTATTCTATAATTTCTATATTTTATATTCTCTGACTCTTACGAATCTCGATTTGATGTTCAGTCATCTTACTTCACTTTTTCTTTTTGATTCAAGTTTCTTGTATGTTTTATATATTCTTTGATTCTTAAATGGAACTTATTTCCTGTGTCCGCTTCATTCCAATTTCTTTCATAGTCCGATTGCGCATAGAGCATGTCGTTAGCCTAGAGAACTTAAGTCCGGGTTGCTCGGTCGCTTTACCATGTTGTTTGGCATGAAGAAGCAATGCTGAGGACGGCATAGTTTGCTAGCTTAGTTGCATTTGTGCGTGATACTCGGGTTTCGCAGTGTATGTGCATGTGTGTGCGAGTGTGTGTGCGAGTGTGTGTGTGTGCGATTGTTGCCGTTGGTCCCTTTATAGAACTGGATGACTTGGGCTGGGCGAGTGAATCTTGCAGTTTCCATGCACACTCATAAATATACTTTACTTGGGCGCACACAGCAGGACGGCTTGGCCAGGCCTCGAAATGGCCAGAGTAGAGTGCCAGGCACTTGTTGTCGTTGTCATTCCTCTTGTTGTTGTTGTTGTTGTTGTTGTTGTTGCTTTTTGGTGCACTGGCGTCTTCTTGTCGTCGCCTAGTTGAGCCAATATGCTTGCCATATGGATGCAATGTATCTTTTACGTTTACCGTTACGTTATGCTTGCGCAATGCATATTTAATGCACATATTCACCAGCCAGGACAAGAAAATGGCGATATTATGCAAAGTTTCGAATAGTTTTCCAAGCAATAGTTTGTAGACCCTAATTGGCTCCGTTTAGCAGTGCAGTGGCAAAAGTATCTGAATATGAATATTGATTGATTGATTGATTGATTATTGTTCTAGAGAAAGAATCATCGGATTGAATAGCTAAAGAAATATCTGAATCAAATTTGTATTAGAGTGGACTTTGCTTTGCTTGTTCCAAGCGTTAAAATTCCCAACAAGCTAAAGCCTTGACTGGGTGACAAGGACAAAGTCTGCTTTGCTGTTGTTGGATCTGGCAGATACTTAAAATAGCTTTGCTTACTTTTTATTATTTATAGCTTTCTGTCTCTGGGCTATTATGCAAATAATACAAACTTAATAAACAATATTCAACCTGTAGTAGCCAGCATTGAAAGCACTAAAGGATGGAAATCAAGTATAAGGAAACGTTTCTTCCTGTGGAACACATACTTAAAAGCAGTTTTCCTTTTCCCATCTTGAAACTAGGATAATAATTGAAATACCTGTATGTCACCCCTCACATAGCCGAAACAAAACCCAAATCGCACTATGCATATGCCTAAGCATGAGCACAGGTAGAAGCCGACCACCTGAAGCTGTAGCAAATAAAGTATTTCTATCTCGTAGTATGCTGGCCTCTGGTACTGATTCAGATTCGGATTCTGATTCAGATTCAGATTCTGGTCTCTGCGTCTGTCTACGGTCGCGCTGTGCTGGCGCTCGGTTCGCACGAACAGCTGATGATGCATATAAATACCGAGTGGGAGCAGTGAGTGCTCACAAAATATGCGGATGGGTCGTTGTTTGGAGGGCGATGGCATGTGCACGTTTGCTGTGACGCCGCTCGGCTGTGGCTGTGGCTGTGGCTCGGGGCCGGCTGGCTGGCCCCAAACAGCAGACAGCTGGGCAGACGTCAGACAGGCGGACGGGCGGACGGTCAGGCCGATTGGGCCCACACGAGAGGCCCCACAGAGTCTTTCAAAGGCCAAGTTCAGTATCTTAAACACATTTCATGTGCTGCCTATTGTTGTGGCCGAGTGTGGCTGACGATGCCGTTGCGCGATTTGAAACAACAACAACAACAACAGGACTCGCACTCCAACTCCAGCTTCACCTTCAACTCCACCGCCAACTTCGACTCGAACTGGGGAGTCTGCTCTGATTCTGGGCCATGCCGCCGCCGCCGCCGCCGCCGCCTCCATCGCTGGCATATGACCCAATTTCGTTGGCGAAGTGCGAAAGTGAAGCTATGAACTTCTCGATGCATGTCGGACCGTGGGCAGACTTTTAGGCCTGACTGTTGAGCCTTAAAAAATGATCATTCGAGCGCTCAAAAGGCCGCTTAGATATTGATGCCTCTCCTAACAAGGATAACGCATGTCGTGGACATTTATAGTTTTGGGCATGTCTCAAGTGTTGATAGGCCACATTATCTTTTCACGGGAAATCAATTGTTCTAACTGGAACAATCAGAGAGAATGGCATACATATATACATGCATACATGCATACATATATACATGCATACATGCATACATGCATACATGCATATGTATGTAAGAGTTTGGAAGTCTTTACCAATCGAATTGTTGAACTTAACTGACACATTGTAGGGTATTTTGTTGTTGCAAAATCCAATGCCGTACAGAGCCGTACGATAAGCATGCTCATAAAAAACAACACAAATGAAAACAACAAACAACCGCAACAACAATCGCAGTCAGCAATTCGTTGTCGCCGTTGTATTCGTCCGGTTTTCTCAGTTTCTCTGACTGAGTCGGAGAATCGAACGGCGATTTCTACACATGCACAGGCGATTACATACAAATATGCATAAACATATCTACATATATGTATGCATGTGTATCTAAAATGTATGTATGTGTGTGCTTACGACGTCGCCGTCGCCGTGTGTAGGGTATTTGTGATTCATGCTGGCCGCATTCGCCAATATGCCAAAAAGACGGCTAGTTTGCGCTATTATTGAAGACAGCATTTCGTTATAGCGCGAAAATTCGACAATACGGCACAGCCTACACTTACCCACACAATGACACGCATTCACACTCATGCATCGTACACGCACACACATTCTCTCTCCCTCGCTCTCTCTGTGTCTCTCTTCAGCTCAGTTGCTCGCTCGCTTTGGTTGTTTGTTCGCTGCTCTTAGCTGCCAAGCGCTAGCAGGCAAAATTTGTGGTACAGTACGGTTTGCTTTCATTGCTGTTTCTGCTTCGGTTTGCTTTTGCTTTTGCTTTTTCATGTACTTGCCTTGTGCTTTAACATTTGCTTGCTCTGTTTATGCGACGATGCAATGCTCAATGCTCGGGTACGAGGATATTTCCATATTTCTCTTTAGAACTAAACAAAGTAAAACATTAATGCTACACGTCGTTTCGATATCAGCACTTAGAGATGGGCACGTGTGATATTATCTTTCGTGACACGAACCAACACACATAAATCTAGTAATTTATTCTGTAAAGCATGTTATGTAAAGCAAAATCCGTTAATTCGGTAATGTGTGGTGAAAAGGGAACGAAAGAGGAACTTGATCCAATTCGAGTAACAGCAACCCGATGTATTGCTAGTCAATATACTTATGTAAATACTAAAATAACAGAAGAATACGATACGATGCCCGATATAAATCATCTTCGTGCTTACAAACTCACGATCCATTCTCTATTGAATTGAAATATGAACCTGCATGATATTTATTTTTTAAAAGATATTTGCACATTGTCTCAAATAATTTAAAATTACACTTAACCAACAATTATTAGGAAATTCATAAATAATATTTCTTAAATCACACATAAGCAGCAGCAAAGATATTCGTATAGTTTTTCTGTTGTTTCCTGTAAAGCATCAAGTACTTTTATAGCTTCAGTTATCTTCCGGTTAACCGGAACCATTAAGCTGTATCTTTTATAAGATTCATTGAGCTCCCAATTACGCAAAGAAGTTCGCCTCGGTCGTGTCACCGCCAATCCTACGACGCTCCATCGATAGCATATACTGAATCTTGGACTGCATGATCATCGCATTCGAGAGGGGCATGCTGCGCAGTTGGGCCGCAACGCTTAGACCGAAATATGTAAACTCATCGTCGCCGGTTGATTGCAGCGCCCGCGGTCGGTCCACTGACGTGGAGTTCACTGTGGGCAGCGAGGTGACCTCGAGTATTTGAGGTGGAACTGGCGAGGGCGGTTGAGCGGGCGGTGTGATAAGGCGCAGCGGCGGGGGTGGGGTCAGCGCGGGCATTAGGGGTAGCGCTGTGGTTGGTATGAGCACCTGTTGGGTTGGCTCAAGTTCCATTTTGATATCGGGCTTCGCTTCGGACTCCTCCAGCGGCAGGAGCTTGATCGTCTTCAGGCGCGGCAATTTGATCTGCAAACGCTTTAGGGGCGGTGAAGGAACCAACACCACCTCCTCCTCCGATTTCTGCTTATTCGGAATATTCACCATAAATGCTGAATGCATTAGAAACGGTTATGGGAGCATTTACCTTGTCCAGAAACTGTGCCAGAAACTTGTGCAACGGAGCAAACCAAGGTATTTTCGGCGTGTACTTTGGATTGGCCCTGATCTTCTTTAGCTCCTGATGATAGCCAGTGCGCATATTCTTGATTTTCATTTTGACACCCTGCAATGTTATCGAGTTTTCATTGGGCTCCGTCTCCGCGTTAATGCCGAGCTGTATGCGCTTGTAGGCGGCATTCCGAGCACCCCATAGATATGGTCGACGGTTCCACAGGCACGGCTCGCGGCTGTAGAGCTCCACGAACTTCATGTGCCGTTCGTCGGTAAAGCGAAATGGTAGGCCACCGCCATTGCTGGACATGCCTAAGCAGGGTCACGAGCAGGGAAACGAGGTGGAGGGGAGAATGCGAAAAACCGTTAGGCGACCGCGCGCACGAAATGCTTGCTGAGAACTGCGGCCTGCCGATTGTTGCTTTTGCTCTGAGCAGCTTTTTCTCTTGGCGTTCGGCTCTTGTCGTGCTCATTGCTGAAGCTTTGGCTTTGCTTTTGTTTTGCTGCCAGCTTTTGTTTATTTCTCGCATATCTGCTTTTGCTGCGTCTGCAGTGCCATCAAGAGAAGAAGCACGTCTAGCGAAGAGGAAGAGCAGTCGCAAAGCAATTATCGATAGCTGCTGGCAACCGATTGGCGAATGCGATGCTAACGGAAGCTTCCCCCCCACTTCTCCCTTCTCCCCATCAACCTGCCCAACTTCCGTTTGCAAGGCGAAAACTGATATTTTCTTATTGGCAAATTCAAAATTCAGTTAGACTGCAGGCATTTAATGGTACATATGTATACATATATGTATTTCCGTATGTAAGGGATCAAATGCAATTGTCGTAGTCCTTGTTATCGCATACCTACTTCCAACAGCTACCCTAAGCATTTTCATGTGAACTCGAAGAATTCGTATGGGCACAAATGCAGCTTAGCAAGACATCGCACACACACAATTCGAGGCGAGTCCTGCGTCTGCCTGCCAGCTATCCTGCCTGCGTTAGTTTCCCGGCTCGTCTATTCATGCTGTCCTTGTTGTTTTGTGAACTGCAAACAGCGCGTGACATCGTTATCCTTTGTACGGTCGGCAGCCGTTGCCTCTGCCTCTGCCTCTGCCTCCCTGCTAGAAATTTACGAGCAAACAGCATCAACTGCAACGCCATTTTTCCTCTAGGCTTTAGTTCGGCTCATTTTTTTCCATATTTTTCTTTTCTTTTTTTTGGCGGGAAACTGATCCGCAGCCTCTGCCGTGTATTTGGGTGGTAACTGGCCGCCAAATCTCTGCAATGTTTAACCCTAAACGGGACAGCAGAAGTTACAAGCAGCCGTTACAATGTTGAGAGCTGCCCTTGTGGTCGATTCTAACTGTGAACTTATGTATGTATGTATGTGTGTGTGTATGTATTTCATTGCATGAGATTGCATGCGATTTCTCACAAACGAAGTACAGAAGGATCGCGCTCTGAAAGGACCGCGATCGTTGCTCAATGCAAAACTCTGAATAGGATAATAATCTCTCTTTACTACTTTTATATTTAGAATACGACTAAAACTAAAATGTTGCTCAGTAATGTATATATGTATGTATGTATGTATGTATGTATGTATGTACAACTCTTCTCAAACCCTCAAATTGGATAAACCTGAATGCTGCAAATCGTGCATTAATTTGTTAAAACATTTACTGTTAGTACAATTATAGAAATACGTTTTCTGTGAAAACTATATTGTATCACTTCGAGTATCGCGTTCATTTGTGACGTCAGCGAATAGTTTCAACCTTGTGTTTGGCGTCGTTGGTACTCACGACAGCAAGCTGGTTGCTATGAATGAAACTAATGCTCACTTTACGAGAAGAAACCAAATGCAAGAAGCAAAATCATAAATTGGTAAATCTCGTATGCGTTAATAGTGATTAAATAACTTTATTGACAATTGTCTCTTATATTTGCGATTGAATACGAGTCTTATATGCATTTATGTACGGCTTGTCTGTGCTCAAGCGCTTAAGCAAGTCATATATTAAAAAGAGAGGCTATTGATATTGAGCAACATTGAGTTTCAGCAGCAAAAACTATATATTAATATGCATTTATTTATGTACATATCTACAAAAACATTCGATGCATGTTTTTCATGCAAAATATGTTTTTACAGCCATCTATAGACTACAATTTTGTGTTTTGGCGCCATTTTTAAGTCCAGTCTCAGCTAGAGCTCTTTTTGTATGTACCAATGAGAGAGCCATTGACTGGCCTCGGCTTTGGTGTGTATGCGTACCTCTCATAGGGAATATATGGGGCACATTAGGTATATTTTAGATGGTTCATATTTGTAAGTTAGCTAATTTGAATTTGTTTTTATTGCAAATGCGCTTTGTGTTCGTCATTTCTTCTATTTACATTTCAAACAGCATTTTATTGACGTTGTTTTTGTTTTTACATGGCTTTTAGCGGTGTTTCTGCTTTAACTTTTTACTTCTGATTTATCTCAACGAGCGTCTCAGATAATTTGCCGGCTGTATTTTCTCTCGCTCTCTCATGTTGACTCTCCTAGATATGGTAACGTGTCGTGAGACAGAACGAATAATCTGCAAAGCAGCTCATAAACCTAATATGTATATAAGTAATATTAAGCGAAAATAGATCAGTTAAAATAAACAATATATATTAAAGTGCAGTATTATTAATGTTAAACAAAAAATGTATGCATCGTTACAACGTTTATCAAAAGGCGTGCCAAGTCGTGAATTGTTGAAGCGCATGTTGCGTCACGCACTCATCTTAAAGAGCATTGCTGCCTGCGTCGACTGCGACGCTCTCACCGTTTTTACCAGCTGGCAGCTGCTTGCTTTCGTAATGACAGCAGACGCCGAGTCCGTACAGTTGAAATTGAGCAGCACACGAGAAAGGTTGGTTGAGTCCTAAGAACTTGTGAAATATAAAATCAAAAATATACTTAGTGGATTATAGTGAACGCACAAGACAAGTATATACATAATTTTTTTAAAATAGTGCAGTGAAACATCGTTAATTGGGACAATCAAATGAATTAACGACCATTTTCAGTCATCGTTCACACATTTTGCCGTCTAGAGAGCACACTTCAGTTCGTCGCTGTGAAAAGTACGACGCTGCTGTACCAAGAGACCAAAGCGTTGCCATTTCGGGTTTTTGCTCGCCGTGAGCGGCGCCAAGTCAAAATGGCTGCCTAGGCCATTCATTTAATTAATTTTGCATAATTGTTTTTGAGCCATGCGTTAAATTCTTCTTGGGCAATATATTGTTCTTATAATCCCGCGCGCAGCTAACCAAAATGCGCGCAATTTTTGGACTATTCACATATTTTACTTTGTTTCCGTATTTGTATTTGTTTTTACTCGTCATTTAACCGAGTTTCTGCTTTGCCTCGCTCTTTGTGCTCTCTCTTTTCGGTCGCTCACTCTCTCTTTCTCTCTCAATCACTCGGTCAGACAAACAGCCCAGCCGGCAATTTATCTGCTGCCGACGTCGCTGCTGCGCTGCGCGCCCAACGCTTGCTGCTTTCAGTTTCCTTACCGTTTTGCTTGCTTCACTCAGTACAGTTGAAGTCGGCGAAGAAACGTGGAAGGTTGGTAAACGCAAGCAGTCAAAAATTATTTTAAAAGAATTTTGTGCAATCAAAAACTAAATCTAAATTTAAAGTGTGACAAACTTGTTTTTGATTCATTTTATTCAATTGACCAAAAGAGAATTAACGCATTTAATTCATTTAAAGCTGACAGCCAAATTAGCGAAACAAAGAATGTGCAATTTATTAAATGTCGGACGAGTGTCATTAAAAAAAAAAAAAAAAGTAAAAATGCTGCTTTAACGGCCATTTAATAAGCATATTTAGCACAGTTTTCTGTGCATTTCTGCCTGATGCCTTGCTTTTTCCCATCAAAATTTGCTCTTTGTAGTACATTTCTCATACAAAACGTCGCTTGGCCTGTGCCAAAGAGCGCGTCGCACACACGACGCTGCTGTACTACACTGGCAGGCCCAAGCAGCCAGTCCGAGGCGGGCGGCAGTACATACAGAAAAAAGTGTTGCCATTTCGGTCGTTTGCACTCAACGCTGAGGGAGTGCAGAACGAAAATGGCTGCTAATGTCGAAAATGCTGTAATTTGGCATTCAAACGCTTATTATTTTGTTCATTATTAATGCAATTAATTTGTGATATGTATAGGTGAATATTGTTAGCTGCGCGCACTCTGCTGTCGCTTGTATATCAGTACGACCAGAAAGACGCGCGCGCGCGCGCTTTTCTCAAACGTCAGCGTCGACGCTGCGCCAGCAGTGTGTGTGCGTGTGAGCAGTATTGCCATCTCTCTTGACGCGACGCTTTGCGCGCGGCCATTGCTGCATGTGTGTTGGTTGCTTATTCGGTTTTTGGTGGTGGTGGCTTCCCTGGTCGTCTGAGTACATGGCGTGCATTTTATTCTTCTTTACTTCCTGCAATAATGATACTAATGTGTGCTTGTCTTTTCAATTATTTAATCATTGCAGCTCGAAGCTTATAGCAAATTAATTTAGTAACTTTACTACTTACACACAACAACACAAAAGAAAATGGCCGACAAACCAAAACGTCCGCTCTCCGCTTACATGCTGTGGCTGAACAGCGCTCGCGAGTCGATCAAACGCGAAAATCCCGGCATCAAAGTTACCGAGGTGGCCAAGCGCGGTGGTGAATTATGGCGGGCAATGAAGGATAAGTCGGTAAGTAAACTGGCACCGTCCAGCTTGAATGTGCATATGTAAATTGTATTTTATGGAAAACTAATAGAAAAACTGCTCGACCGTTTCTTGCTTGCAGGAGTGGGAGGCAAAGGCAGCCAAGGCTAAGGATGATTACGATCGCGCCGTCAAAGATTTTGAGGCCAATGGCGGCAGCAGTGCTGCTGCTAATGGCGGTGCCAAGAAACGTTCAAAACCTGCGAAAAAACCAGCGAAAAAAAGCAAAAAGGATGATTCTGATGACGACGATGATGATGAAAGCGAGTAAGAGATCGCTTCACAGGCGTCATCAAGGAAACCACAAGAACATCATCAGTGGACCTGTCAGTCAGTCAATCGCATTTCGTTTAAACTCCACCCACACCCAACACCACCACCCACCCCCCTACACTCCACTTGCACCAACCATACACAAAACATAAAATAAACAAACAAACAAACAAACCATAGCATAGAAATACAAAGACCGTTGAACAGGAAAGTTGCCGTCGAAAAAACGCGACTGTTGAATAATGTAACAACACGAAGAACATATGCAAAATTGTATTTATACATAAGAATTTAAGTTTATAGTAGGCGTTTCTTTTAGTATACACATATTTACGAGAGAGGACAAAACAGTTTTTAAGTCGAGCTCGAGGCGCGGAATACTTCCTCTCGCCTTCAAAGAAAACAATTTAAGAAGACGGCAAAAAAATAAAACATTGATCAATTTGTATATCTTGCATAAAAATTTGTAAATTAAACGATAACGTAATTCCATTATAAATAAAAACAACTAAAAATCGAAAACTACAATTGTTCTGAGAATATCCTGTACGGCACCAGCCCCCCCGCCCCAGCCCCGGCCCCAAGAACACAACATGATGACATTGCTAGGGTCTGCCAGAAGAAACGGCTTGTCACCGTCTATTATATAGATCGATATAATATACCAATAGCTCTAATGCATAATGTTAAAAGTTATCGAGAAACAAATGAAAAAGAGTGTACAAACAAACAAACAAACAAATGAAAACAATTGAATGGGCCTTGAGAGAGCTTTTTCACAACGTTCGAAAAGGAACGAAATATTTCGCTCAGGTTTTTCGTAATTATTGAACTCTAGAGAAACATCTTTGTTAAATCCTGAAGATGTTGCTGCATAAAACACGAGATGTATTGCATTTAATTTGTAGTCTTAATTAATACCTATATAATTTAATTCCAATATGAGAAACAAATAAAAACAAATAAAATACATTTTTTTGAATGCGTTAACAAAAAAAAAAAAAAAAAGGTACCAAGCGATTTCTTTGGGTACATGAGGGGGAATCCCCTGAGACAGCTCAGAGTAAACAAAAAATAAGACAAGTGTTGAAACATTTTACTTATTTATTGTTTTAAATATCATCCTCCAATAATCGAACACTAAAGCTAAATGATTTCATATGTTTTGCTGGTTTCGCTAGATTTCAACTTCACCATCAAAAATTCATTAGTTTTAAGTTTTATGTTATGTATCTTTATCTATTGCATAGAAATACCGTTAGTTTCATGTTGTTGGGCTCAAATATTACTCCATGCGATTATGTTTAACAATGTTTGGGCTAAAAACTACATTTAACAAAAAGCACACGAGAATTCAGATCAACTTTGAAATGTGATTTTAAAAATTAGGCGCCATTAGATTAATTCACAAATCGATAGATATATATATATATGTATATAAAACAATATTTCAGTTCCGTGCTTTGGATGGGTTCGGAAGGTACACACACACACACACACCAACAAGAGTTCAAGGTCGCGACAGTTCACAAAAACAACAAGTACAGGTTCTGCGTATAAGAAGAAGCATTTTGACTTAATTCGATTTGATGTATTGACAAAATTATTTAAATTGATGCTTTGTTTTTTGGGTTCCACGACGGATAAACATATCGAGGTTGTGCTTATTTAATTACATAACTTAAAACGAATATGGCAAAAAAAACTAACGAAGTCTCTCTCTTGTGGCCATTTACAAACAAAAAAAAAAAAAAAAATTACTAAAAGTTGTAAGCAAACATTGAAAACTGCTCAGTTTTCCCGGCTAGCGTTGCGTGTGTGTATGCAGCAAAGGGAAAACAAACGAAGGAAAGCACCATCAGGCTGCAGCCCGGGCTCCATCTCTAGCGATTCAGCCAAAAGATGGTCTTCAGCACAAAGTAGGCCAGTCCCAGGCAATAGACAATCTTCTCGCGCTGCATTCGCTGCTCGTTATTGATCTCAATGTTGAGCACGCGCCGATTCAGTTTGGCCAGCTGACGACGCAGATACAGTATCTCCTCGTGCGGCGTCAATTCGCCCATGGGCGTGCCCTCGCGGTGGGCCAGCATCGAGGCATCCAAATTGTTCTGCTGCTGCTGCTGCTGCAGCTGCATCAGCTGGGAGCGTTTGCTGGCGCTGCCCGTTGTGAGCTGTGGACAAGAGACGGAGAAATGCTCGTTAGGATTGGGCTTAAGCATGGATAATGGCTGATCTTAACTTACGGTAAAGTTTTGACAAACCATCGTTTAAATAAAATATATAAATATAAAGTTGACGATAATTGTTTGCTATTCTCTAAAGTTTGACAAATCTATGAAAGATAATCACAACAGGTAAAATCAGCCTATTTTGGCTGTGTAATCCTGTTGCCAGGATGAATCAAGGCTTCACTTTTAAGAGTTTGCAATTGTAAATGCATTTGGCAAATCGACAGAGTTTGCTTACAAAACTTTGCAGTTTTGCGTGGTCGTGTTGAAAATGGATGAACTATTCTCAAAATTTCGGAAGGCATCGTAGTATTCCTGGCATTTTGAGCAGTTGGTCAAATTATTGTGCACATTTTTTTCTCAAAACAAGTTGGTAAACAAAATTTTTAAAGTACAGAGAACTGTTGGTCAGACATGTCACAGGCGCATTATTCCGACGAGGAGGACCTGCCCAAGCTGGAGTCCATAAGCAATGCTCTCAAGTGCGAGCAAACGGGTCACATTATGGAGGCGATACTGCTGTACGAGGAAAGCATCTTTAAGCTGAATCAGCTGTCCAACTCGGACCCCAAGAAGCAGCATTTGTGCGGCAAGTATCTGAAGCTGTACGAGGCGCGCGCCAAGCAGTTGCGGGATCAGGTCAGGGGTCATCTGCATGCCAGCAAAATGCTGGAGCATATTGTCATTGAGCGGGACGCACGTGGACGAAGCTATCAGCGTCTGCTCGGTGCTTATCTGAATGACAGTGTCAAGGAGGCGCACCTGAACGAGCCGCATCTCAGCGAGCAGCATCAGTTCAAGAACCTGCTCAACTTTTTCGAGGTGCTGGTCAAGAATTGTCGCTACCTGAAGTACATACGACTGACGACGCGGCCGGATCCGGCGCTGCCCAAGAATCAGCTGCACGTACTCCAGCAGATTCGCGCCGATCTGGCAACGGGCAACATTCACATGAACTTCCAGCTGGACGAAACGCTGCACGATCGCAAGATCGTGCTCAGTTCGGGTGTTGTCATCAAGATTGGACGCGGTTTGCACTACTTTGAGCCCACCGAGCACATGTACACGCTGGGCCTGTGCGACTACGACTTTCGCAAGTGCCTGGCCACCGAGGTCGACGTCTGGAAGTGTCGCGCCTTTTCCAAGCCACACAAGGAACCAACTGAGCGGCCCGCCTACAAACAGCCGCCCAAAGATCCTGAGAATCATGCTCAAGGCCTGGCCAACGTCTACTCAAGCGATTAATGTGCGCCATTTGGAAATTTGGTGGCACGCAAAATAGGGATAAAAAACATTTGGTTCAGATATTTATAAAACGAATTGTGGCATGAAATATACATACAAATATAGTCGAGGAAATCCGTCCAAGATTATTGCTGGGCTTATATGGCAGATGATATATATATATATTTAGTACGAGCATAATAAGAAGCCTAAATCTGATCTGATCTTGGTTCGGGCTGAGGCGTAATATTTGCTCTGAGCTGCACCTCAAGACGTAAATGCCAGACGATTCACTTGTCGCCAGCAGTTCATTAATCTTTAAACAATTAAAAAAAAAAAATGGTTGTGCGTGTGTGTGTGTGTAGGAGAGCTGTTGCCATTGAAGGCGCTCGGATTTCGTCATGGGGGCTGCATTAGCACATGCGCTGATAATGAAAGTGGACTCTGAAAGATTACGCTGCTCGAAATTGTATCGAGTGCGGCGTCACGAACTGAAATGTGACGTAACTGGGGATCAGAAATACCAGAATTGGAATCGGCTCGCGTCGTGGCGTTTAGTGGGCATGAAAAATCGATGGCTACATTGCGTGTGCTTACCTGCGAGTCCGATTCGACGGAGTTGGCATCGTTGCTGTTGTGAAAGCCCATGCGTATGTTGCCATTGGAGCGCACATATTGGGTGGCACGGGCATCTTCGTCGTCGTCGTCGTCGTACATGTCGCCATCCAGATTGTGACCATAGAGATTGCCATTGGGTTTGAGTGGTGAGCTTTCCTCGGATGCTGACGGAAAATGATGATCGGTGAGTGTGATGACGCGCGGCGGCGTTTGGACGCGCAGAAAGCCCATTGACGGATTCTTGGGTAATATGGAGTTCTCCAATTGGATTTCACGCGGCGCCGAGCGCGTCTCCAAATGCTGATTATGCCCCAGCACCACAATCCGATCTGGCACATTCATATCGATCTTGTCATGATAATTCCACGAACTGATCATCCCATTCTGATTCGACAGCAACAGATCCTCATCGGAGAACTCGCCCGTCGCCTTAATGCGCTTCGGCACGCGCATCTTGTCGTTAATCTCGTGCGCGAACTTCGCATCGTTGTACAAATCATCATCCAGTCCGTTGAACATGGGTGCGGGTGATTGCGGTGTGACCATAGCGCTCTGGCTTTAACTGCAACGTTGTTGATCCGGTGTCCACTTCGACACGTCGGGCTACAGGCGGCTGCAGGGGGTGTGGCTGCGGCGCTAGGCTGGGACACGGCCAGATGTTATGGGTGGCGTTGGGAGAGAGACGTTTTCATAACAGTTATAAATCACTGGTAATTTAAGTAGAGATTGCACAACATATTTGCTGTTTGTTGCGTCGAGGAACTTTTTGTTAATTTTGTGCTACTTACATTTTTAGAACTGACAGAAAAACTTCCGTATATTCCGTGTTAATTTTAAAGTTTTTTTTTTTTTTTTTTCCCTTTATGCTCGCTGCCTGCCTTTTGTTGTAGAATTATGTGTGTGCGAAAAGGCAGCAAAAGAATGTACTAAAAATGACCATAAACGCGCTTCAGCTGCATGTAGTACAGGGCTGTGCAGCAGTGCAATTAATAATGCAACTATTTAATTCATTGCTATTAGAACATTTATAGAGTAATAAAACGTAATATAATGATAACTATTTATAATTTCAATAACCTTTATAAGTTTCTCTATTTATTGGCTGCACTTTTATGCCTTCTAGGTTGGCAACTCTGCAACGCGCAGTCATTCACCACGAAACGCTGACATTAACACACGCACACATGTACATTCGCGAACGCGTTGCCGCGCTCATTTATAACAAAATTTCTGAAGCATTCGGACGAATCGGCGAGCGTCCTTTCTGAAAAGGCTGATATAAGCAATATTAATGTGACTAAATAGAAAAGAAGACGTACACAAATATTTATTCAATTCAAACTTAAACAAAAAACACATTCAACGCACATTGGCTGCGGTTTTATTGTAAGTGCATTACAGCCAGACAGCAGAATTTGCTGCAGTCGCCGTCGACTGCGCTGTCGACGTCGCCGGGTACAGTACGCGCCGTTTTTTGTGTGCCAGCTGAAAAGTGTTCTTGTTGTTGTTGTTGTTGCGGAAGAGGTAGCTAGTTTCTGGCGGGGCAGGGCGGGAAAGTGTAAACACAAATAGCTTGCAGCACGGCCATGTGTGTGTGTGTGCGAGTGTGTGTGTGTGTGTGTGTGCGAGTGTGTGTGTGTGTGCGGCGAAGACTATAAATAAAATATAGATCGCACTTTTAATAATATTGTATATTGTATATTATATAAATACATTTTGTGTATGTACTTACAGCACACACAGTAGAGGCCATTCACATAGAGCAACTACTGCAATGGATCGACGCTTAAGACGTCCGCGCCGCACAGAGGATTTCGCACCAGTTGCCGCCGCTGCAGCCGTGCCCGGCACACAGACTAGACGAGCCGGCCCCCCCGCCCAAACACAGGGCATTGCAGCGCGCACACGTGCCTCACCCTCGCGCAACAAGGTGCTGGTGCCGGAGCCAATCACAGTGGATCTAGCGCCGCGCACACGACGCTCCAGCAGACCGCGTTCCGCTGCCGGGCAGCCCACTGCAGCAGCAGGCTCCATCAAAGCTACAATAAAGTCCCCGACGCCCATCAAGGAAGTCAATGAGGTTGGTGCAGGTTCTTTTCTCTCTATACAACATCGACTGTTTTCTTAGCGCGCGCGCGTGTGTGTGTGTGTGTGTGTGTGTGTGTGTGCTAACTAACTGGTTTTCGGGCCGAGTCTATCAGCTTTGTTATCTCCTTTGGTTAATCAGTGTATTGAGAGCTTATCAGTCGTGTGCTACCTTAATGTGTGTTCCTTTACTTTTTTGTATAACAGTGAAAAGCATAAACAATAGAAGGTGAATCGAGTTCAGTGCAGAAATACACCAACTGTCACGCGCATAGATACACTATTATTTTTTTTCGATTGCCCTAAGAAAACGGTCTACATATGCATTCGCATATCTACATATGGACATGGACAAAGAGAGGTGGAGGGTATTCTAATTTTGTCATTGAATATGTTACGGCCAGAAGAAAACATCTGCGTGCCCAAAAAAGTATATTTATTCTTAATCAATATCAACAGCCAAGTTGATAAAGTCATTTACGTCTGCCGTCGCCCTCGTCTTAGTCTTAGTCTAAGCTTGAAAGCTATTCTTGCTTAAAACTTTTTGCTATATTCCTTATATTTAAGACAAATCTGGTCAAGTTCGGCATCTATAGAATCACTTTAGAATCAAGTTCTTTGGTTTATCTGCTTGCCCAGAACTGGCAACTCTCTAGCTACATTATGCTCCTTAGAACTTATTAAGATCGCCACGATTTATTGGGAACAATTTACTGTGCTCCATATATGTTTAAACATTTAACAATATCATATAACTCTAGCTGGAACAGATCGAGAAATGATCTGCAAAAATCAATTGTCTTTAAGAACTCTCTTTAGCAAACTCATCAATTACGAGCCTTGCTATCTCTCACATATCTGCAATACTCTCTATAAAAGAGCATTTGATATTCGTTATGTATGCACCTTCTGCCCATAAATATTCTTCATGAGGCTGATAAGCTGAGTATAGACTCAACTCAACCAAGTCTCTTCTGTATAAATGACTCGAACTCAAAAATAGATGTGTATTCCGTGTGCATATCATATGCAGCTCGAGTTTGTTGTTCCCTTTACACCTTTGCAGGGGGTATTACACTTTTGTCATGGAATATGTGACGCATAGAAGGAGACATTTCCAGATCCTTACGATTTGGCTCAAGTTGGTTGGCGGGCGGGTCTCGGGATGAGCTGAAAGCCTGATGCGCTTGAAACTGGTTATATTTAAATTTGAGCCTAATTTAAGTTATTAAAATAATTGAAAACTATTCAGGTACCATCGCCAGTGCGCAATTCGAGCAGCTTTCCGATTACATTGACTACAAACACATCGTCGCGTGCGCCCAACCAGGCGATGCTCACCTCCTCGGTGAACAGCCCGGACAGCCAACGAACGTACAGCAGCAGCACGACGACTACACAACGCATTGAGATCCGCACTGAGAGCGGCAGCGGAGCGGATGTGGACACGGATTCTATACGCAAACGTATTACAGATCGCCTGCGACGTTCTCTATCGAAGACCATCTCGAATGTGGCGGGTACGCCCACGGTTAATAGGGAGGATGCGGGCAGTCGCTACAGTCGGTCCGTTTCACGTTCTGTTTATGACGACGAGAAGAGCTCGAAGCGCAGCTACTCCACCGGCGAGGAGGATATAGATGAGGAGGACGAACAGCTGGAGGATGAGGAGCCATTCCGCAGTTTCAATGTCACGCGACACTCGACCACGCCACTGCTGGAGAGCAACGTCTGCCGGAAACTGCAGGTGCCACGCGAATTTGGCGGCTGGCCGGGCGCACTGCTGCTGCTAGTACTGATGCCCGGTCTGGTTTACTATCTCACCTGGAGCTGCACGGCCCGGAATGCGTGTCAATTGAAGCGCGCCAATTTCACGGTACTCCTCGACTGGCACTATCTGACACGTCAGGTGTTCCAAACGCATGTCGTTGGCGTCTTTACGGCCTATCAGTTTGTGGTGTTTCTGCTGGTGGCTCTGCTGCCAGGTCGACGGGTCCACCTGACGCGGGAAACCTACAAATTCAATGGCTTGGGCGTGTGCTTCACCCTGCTGATCGCCGGCGGCATTGTCGAGTATCTAAAGTATCCGATTGTGAGCTTTGTGCTGCGTCATTATTTGCGCTTCTGCATCTATGGACTGGTCAGCGCATTTGTGGCCGCCAGCTGGAGCTACTGGCGCGTGGACACCACCAAATACAATGTGCTGCGCCAGACGCTGGCCAATGACTATGGACGCAGCGGCAACTTTCTGGTGGACTTTGCTCTGGGACGTCAGCTCAATCCCAAATGGCTGGGACGCGTCGACTGGAAGCAATACTATTATCGCCTCTCGCTAGTCAGCACCTTGCTATATGCCGTCTGCTACATCTACCAGACGCTGCAGTGGCCCCATTGGCCACAAGCCCAGGAGGGCTACGTTTACTTGTTGCGTTATTACTGGAACAATCTTAACTACGATGCCGGCGCTTTGCTGGCGGCCAGCTCGCTGCTTATTTATGTGCTGGATGCGCTGCTCTTCGAGCATCATCTGAGCTGCTCCTTTGAGCTGCAGCACGAGGGCTACGGCTGCCTGCTGCTGTTGCGTTATGCGGCCACGCCCTATTTGCTTAGCTCGGTCAGCAAATACTTCTACGAGCAGCGTGTGCCCATTGGCAGCTGCCTGATGCCAGCTGGAGCGCTGTTGCTGCTGTTTGTGGGTCTGTGCATCAAGCGATACAGCTGCGCCTACAAGTACAAGTATCGCCTGAACTCACAGAATCCCATTTTCGCGAACATCGACACCATACACACCTACCAGGGCAGCCGGCTGCTGTTGAGCGGCCTGTGGGGACATTTGCGCCAGCCCAACTATTTGGGCGATATACTCGCCCTCTGTGCGCTGGGCGCGCCCATGTCCCTGCGGCCCGCCTGGCCGCCAGTGCTGTCGCTGCTGTTGTTGGTGCTCGTTCTGCTGCATCGCGCCACCCGCGCCAATGCACGCAATCAGGGTCGCTATCACTCGTCCTGGCACCGTTATTGCACCCAGGTGCGCTACTATATACTCCCCAAGATTTACTAATCTCGTGTCGCTCAATCGATTTTCATTTTTATTTGGCTCTGCCCACCGTTGACGAGTAAAATTTGCAAACTTTTTATTTTATTAGCTTTTAGTTACATTCGAATTTGCTTCTCTTTGTATATATATACATATATATATATATATATATATATATATCGTGTATTCCATTCACATTTGCTTGCTGCGCGTCGCAGTTCCATTTGCCCTTTCAATGATTTTAGTACAAACTTTTATTTAACTTCGTGACAAAAAGAAATCGTGAAAATTATATATACATATATTGCTAAGGCCTTATAATAAATCGCTATAGCCATAATAATTATATGCAACTTATATAATTAGACATTTTCTAAGACTTAGACTATATTATTTAACTCCTTTTTATGATACTTGTAGCTTATGCAAATTTTAAATCATTTACCATGTAAATATCGCAATTACTTTATTATAATAAACAAAATAATTTCGTTTCTTAAGAAAACGAAACGAAAAAAATATGATCTAGTTTTGCTATTTTTATGTTTTCGTATATTACCAACGGGTATACCCCGAGATATCTATATCTATATAGAATATTTGGTCAGACGATTTTCACTTGAATTTTGACCAAGAATAATGTTGCCAGATTAAGATGGCAAATTGATTTAGATGTCAAACTAAGCACAAAAAGCTAAACCTTATGCAAATCGGCTGTAATCGGAAAATATTAGCCGGTATTACAGAGTTTATCTAAAAGCAAAACCAGTCTTAAGATAAATTTGAAATATTAACGGTCAAACTGTTGC